AGGGAGAAGAGATTTCTATATTCGGTGGTTCATTATGATGAAGAGGGTTTCTGATATCTGAGAAATATACCTTGGCTCAACAGCAGAAAGGTTCAAAACGGGTTGGCGTAAATGTCGAGAAATTGTTCCTGAGAAGAAGGAAAAGGAAGATGGATATGTCTCACCATACTGTTGTGACAGTGTAACCAGCTGATGCATAGAAGCTATGACTTCTCTGAGACGAAAACCTAATCCAACTGATATTCCTGGTATATATTCATCATGTCGAGATAACTTGGAGTGAAATCGTAAAGTCAATATATTCGGGCTGAGGAAGATGAGGGGAAGAAGGCTTGGTATCTTCAATTATACCTCTTCAAGACCAATATTGGGTGTGATAGTGACATGCCAAAAATCCGGTGGTGTGGGTTAAGGTTGCTAGGTTGAGGTGACTTACACAGTCTTGGTGACCGGGTAGTAGGTGGGTAGCAGATAGGTAGTAGAAAGGTAGCAGATAGGTAGCAGATAGACACTAGATAGGTTAAAGTAAGAATTAGTCTTCAACATTCTTCTCTGTATGATTGTGGCACAGCAACACGGCGAGACGGATGCGACGTTGATGTTGTGCTTCCTTGGGGGTTATTTTTTGCGTACATGTGTGCGCCGTGTGAAGAGGAGAGTAAGCATATATCCCGATAGGCTGTTAGCTAGATGCATCTATTAGTTTTGGTGGTTATGTGCTTGGTTGTGTGGTGGTTGTGTGGTGGTTGGGTATTATCGCCGAGTAGCTGAGAATTGAAGGAGATATAATCATATCACGTGGACACGGGTAATTTTCCCAGGAACGCCAGGAACGGGATGGAGCGCGAGGGAAAGGCTTGGCAATCGTGGAGGGGAATTTCTTATCAATTGATCAATATTTTTTGACAAGTCTAATGTTAACTTTAACGGCGACATCAACAACAACATCAACCACAGCACCAATTCCAATTTGGGTGCCGACTTTCCCTTCACCGTTTACAATATATGCATGTGTGCATATGTATCTTACAGCTTGATACATATCAAATTACTTGCATCTCCTCACCGCAATTGTAATAGCTTTTGCAGGGAAAAGCACAAGGCACAATTGATTCTTTTGGACGACTTGCAGATTTCAATCAAGTAAAATCCTCAATTCCATCATCTTTTTACTCTGAATCTTTAACCTATACCTCAAACCTCGAATCTTGCTCAAAAATCATACCACACCACTTTATGCTTGGCACAGAAACCTACGCATAACTTCCGCATTATATCACATATCAATCATGGTTCTTGAACTGCATATTTGGGGTCCATCATTCGGTTTGCCCTCCATTGATGCACAATGCTTAGCTACTATTGCATACATGCAGCAAGTGATCCCACGTGGTCAATGGTCCCTTGTTGCTAGTAGTGATCCAACCCTAAGTCCCACGAGTACGTGACGCAGAGAATGCATCCTTCTACCCCTCACACAATCCTTGAGTGGTCAAAAGAGGAAAAGTTCAATATTGATATAATCCTGCAGATGAATTGCCTGCTTTGAAAGATAGCAGGAATGGGGCCATTCATTGGGTGGGTGGATACAGAAGCATCATCGATTTTCTCACACAATATTCATCTGGGAAATGGAATCTAGATGCGGGCTTACGAGGACAAGAAGGGGCCGATTGTACAGCGTAAGTACTACCGAAGAAAAAACGGATATAGAGATCCTTTATATTTGTTATGATGCAAAGCTTATTGATTGGTCGATTAGATATTCTGCTTTTATCCAAATGCATGGACAGCCGTTACTAGATCTCTCACTCTATGTTTCTTCGAAGAATTATTCCGAAGTCACTCGTCCGATTTTCAATACGATACAATCTTTTCCCTTGCCATATCTTACACCGCCTCATCTCCGAGCGGAAGCTAAAAAAAGAACAGAATATCTCGGTCTAGATGCTCTGGATATAGATTCAGAAGATGATAAATCACGAGACCAACCAAGTATCATACCCGAATCTCTCAGGAGGGGCAAACAATCTGTCTCAAGTTTACTAAAAGCTTCTCCTGAAACTAACGCGCAAATTCGTCTCGATGCATTAGCAAGCGACTTTTTCTCTGCAATCAGAGAATTAAAAGGAAATAAGAAATATCTTGTCTCACATGAGAAATTGTCGAGTCTAGATTGTCTAGCACTTGGTTTTATGTCTCTGATGCTGTATCCGCAGTTACCACAACCATGGCTGCAAAAGACGATGAGGAAAAAGTTTCCAGACTTGGTTGAATGGGTTGAAAAGCTGAAAGATGAGGCGTGGAATGGTGTGGTTGGTTTGGATGATGCGCTGCTTACCAAATCTGGCAATAGCGGAAATGCAAATGCATTGCAACAGAAGAAAGGGAGTTTACCTTGGCAAGCGCCTGAAGCTCGTGGTATACTAAATATCGGAGGCGTATTTTTGGCGGGTCTAGCAGATTCGTTACCGATTGTGGGACAGCAGAGGAAAGATAATCGTATGAGACGCTATGGTGGCGAAAAGGAAAAGGATACTGATGCGGGTAGCATCTGGAAATATGTTATCACGGCGGGAAGTTTAGTTGCGGCTGTCGGACTGGTGGCGGGTTATGCGTTGCATGAGGGGTTAATACAGATGCCTGATAGTTGGTCAGGGAAGAAAGACGACGAGGAAGAGAAAACTCAAAGTGTAAATGATCTTGGAGAAGCAGGTCAGGCACTTTTCGCCTTCGCGGATCATATGGATGAGAGTGTACAGAGACAAAGAGAGTTGGAGAGAAATGATAAGCCGATAGTGGAGGTTGATGTTGATGTGGGACAAAATGGGGTTATGAGGTAGACCTAGATGAATGATACTCGGGGCATTTACCTCGTGGTTGATGTTCAACGTTATGATGGAACAGTGGTCCTCGAAATGAGATCATTCATAGTCTTCACATTTTTGGTTTTCAAACATTGCTGTCCATTTATGCTTGTGCAATCCTAGTGTTTATTTGTAAGGTTAGTCAACCAAGAATCTCATCTATAACATCTTGTTACCCAATTGTCTTTTCCACTGCTCTCTCCCACATACAATTTTTTTTTCTCAATATGTTTTTGAGACTTGTGAGGAGGAACATCGATCTCTATTTGTTGTGCGTACAAAAAGCTGGAGAGACCAAGTAGCTTCCACAAGTGTTCATGTGCCCATCGACCTTCCACGGAATTTCTGTTTGCAAGTGCGAATATTACGTGCTACCACTCAGTTATGTGAGCTCGGCTGTTTTGTTGGTGTACATTGTTGCGACGCAATATGTTGTCAGTTCGAGAGATTCCATGGTGGTCGTTACTTCAAATGTCGCTTTCGGTTTATCCGGAACGATTCACGAAAGTATCATTTGCACAAACAACCAAGAAAACGCAGCCTGGCCATATCTTCTAGAAGTGGCAGTTTGATTGTTTTTTATTCACTCAAATTTTGATTTTGTTGTACAAATCATGGTCCTAGTTTTCTATGTGAGGGAAGATTTAAGTACAGGAGCGGAAAAGATTAGAGGTTGAAGAATAGATCAGGATATGAGCTCTTGAGGGGCAGATAGGGAAATATAAATACATCAGAATATGGAAATAGCTAGAGTAGCAACATTCGCGGGAGAATATGCGGGAGATGGGCTAAACATGCAAGTTGTGAAGTATTCGGATTTGTTATGTACATTTATTCACCTTGTTTGAGCAGGTCAAATTCGCATTTATACTTTTCACATCATCCAAGTCGCTTGAACAGGCAGGATCTTCAAAAGTCGGAAACGACTACCCATTCACCCTCTCATTGTCGTTATCGTCGTTATTGTGAATATTGCCACTATTGTTGCTTGATGTCGAGGTGGTAATCATGCGTTTCTGTTATGGTCCCTCGAGAATGCTTTTTTTTAAGCTTCAGCTTTCAGTCTACTTTAAGATACTGTCGCTGTGAGTTTGGGTTACAAATTTCATCTTAAGTCATCGCTACTGCATTATCCTGGCATAACCAACAACGCCTGCGATTTTATACTTCTCAAGCTTGACGACAGATCATGGTGGTTCGAGGCGGGCACCTCATATATTTTGCATAGTATAGATATATGATGGTTTCAAACGGAGAACTTTGCTATCGGTCATGACACTCAGTAAGTGCGATACTTGGGACGAAACGAGGGTGATGGAGTGACAGCTGCTTTATTGTTGTGGAATTTGAATAATTTGCAGTAGCTGCTCCTTCTTCATGGGGACAGATTCCAATGATATTAATTTAGAGGGATGCTCCTCCTTTATAGGATTGTTCTCAACAATATTAAGCTAGAGGGATGCTCCTTCTTCATGGGAACACATCTCAATGATATTTAACTAGATTGAAGTACGAGAATGCAATTCCTTCTTCAAGATTGTGCTTTCGGGTGTTCACAGCCATCCTCAGGAGAAGAAGACAACCACTGACTCTCGTGCAATAGATACAGGACATCAATATAGGGCTCAACTTCTCATCATAAGGATGCTTCTAATTCCAGAGAGGATTAAAGAATAAGAACAACTCTTTGCAATCTCAATTGTTAGACAATACTTGAGGTTGAAATTATGAATTCAAGACGAGAAAATGACTTTTAACCTATAACGATAAGTAGCCCCTCAAATAGTTTTAAGATTCCCTTTGAGAAGGCTCTTCAAAATTTCAAATGAGAAACAATAGTTGGAAATTTGATGATATCTGGAGGATCAGAGCATCTGTTACCATCTTTTACACTGTACAACAACATACCAGTTTCATATGTGACCCGCAGAGAGATTGAATTGCATCTTGATTTCTAGTACCATTACCCAGTTACTACAGCAACTCATATATTTCTTACTAACCATAATGGAAGCGACCTCCCTTGGTAGAAGTTGGCACTGAAAAGAACATGTTTGTATTTCTCCATCTATCTTTAATCGATCAACATAAAGCTTTGAACCATCTATTAAAACATCTGAACAGGTCACAATCATGGCTAAAGGTCCAATTGGAATACACCTTAAAGGTCAAGGAGCGTGGTATCTTGTCCACTATCCACTTCCAGATACCTTGACTGCGATCAATGATACCCAGCGACAGAACTATAACAGAGCACTTATTTGCAAGTACTCGCACTATTCAACGAACTTGTCATGATCTCGATACAACTCCAGACTAACCATACACTCTGATGCGTAGGGTTAAATATTTATACCTATTTTAGAGGCGTGAGCGTTGATGGCGACGAAAAACTCCTCCGCAGCGACAATTACAAACGACTCTTCCCCTGGTATAAGACATTAAGTACGATGCAAAGCCTCAAAGATCATCTCTTCAGGACCCGCATGAAGTTGAATAAATTACTAAGATTAAACAATGCACTTATGGGAGTACGTTTTCACCTGGAAATAATCCTATCCTATCAAGAATGACTGCTAATATTTCACAGGTTGTTCAGCCTACTGATGCTTCCAAGTTACCACCTATCCTTACTCCAGCTCAACAACAACAGGTTCAGGCACAGAAACAGGTTTATGATGCTCAAGTCGCTGCTTCACGAATCGCTGCATCACGAATCGCTCCTCGTTCCACTCAGAAAGCCGATGTTCCAGCATCCAGCCAATCAGAGTTAATTCGTACCCCCTCGGCGAGAAATCGCTCTGCAATTCGTCGTCAGTCCCGTGGCCGCTCTTCTCGCTGGATTGAGCCACCTCTAGCTTATGATAACTTATCAACTCCCGGAGCAACTACGAATCTGAGTGGGCAACCTGGATCACCAAGTTATCTAGATGGAGCCAAAGGTAATGGTTGAACGGGATCATATTCTAAGCTTCTGCCGCCCCGGAACGAAAGAAGCTACTAATATGCTATAGACAGAGACTCAGACTCCTATACGGGTTCAAGTGCCGATATAACTGATAACAATCAGCTTTCACCAACACCGTCAACCTCCCACACAATATGGGGGGGGCCGAAAAGCCCTCTCAAATCAAGTGGAAAACCTCTAAAAGCTCAAGAAGATGATGAAATGGAGGCTGGTACGATTTGGCGAGTATGAACAACCAGGCTGAACTATAAGATTTTAGCTGGTTTTTGCTACATCTTGGCATTGACTTCTCCATGGATGATTATGTACCAACGGCATGCTAGTCATCCAGGTTTAGCGACACTATTTGTATGCGGTCATATTGTCACCCAGCGGTAGCGATATGTAAAAGGATATGGGAAATGCATGATGTTTTGCACGATGGCTCAATTTATTAGTACCTTGGGTTCGTTAGTGAGGGCATCTATTTTTCTTAAAAGCGCTGCAACTCGACTTCATGTGCTGGGCACCCCCAGCTTTAACTTGGTATGCTGATATGCGGTTTTAAATAGCAAGGAGAGAAAGTGAAAGAAACTAGAAGAGAAGTCTTGTAGTATTCTTTCAATAATAAAGCGGCAAATTCACAACTTCGACGAATTTTTGATATATGTTCACCACAGTGATTCAAGCTTCCTTATTCTCGATATCTGCAGCCACAATACTAGCATCTAGCCTGACGAAGTTAGATTTTGACACTTCTGCGCGAGATGCCCCTATTCTCACTGCTGAAGCTGGCGATGAATCTCCTCCACACCTGTCCTCCCTCTCTCCCACCAATCACGAACGTCTTGCTTCACATCACATCGGAACGAATCCACAATTGCTATTTTGCGAACAAAGGTGGCGTCAAGACGTCATACCTAGCTAAGGAACAGCCACTTTCTGGCAGACGTGAACACGGTGGAGATTGCGCATCTCAATATAGTGAAAAATGTCATGAATGTATTTACCTCACTGGATGGTTCAAAGAGAATTGTCAAGTATTGGTTGAAGATACCTACGAAAACCTATATGATCCTCTGAGTAATCTTTAGTTGCTGTTTAATGGATCTGCTTCCCTTGACCACTGTCCCTTTGCACATCTTTTCTATTCCCCAGCCCATCTCCATCTATGATGACCCCGAGACAAATGACTTGTAGAGGGAGGTGATTGTGTCGAGGAGTGAGGATAGCGATGAGGGTGATAGGGATTGCAAAACATGAGAATTTGCTCAAAAAGGAACCTTAACGTTCCTCGATATCATATTCCAGAGAACTTGTCTTCAGTGACTTCACTTACTCACCGTTGTCTCGGAATATGTTTGTTATTTGCCAAGTATTCACTTGTGGTGGGTGAAAGAATATTGCATCAGACACGCAATATTTCAACTTCTTCGCAGCGGAAATTAATTATATTCACAACGTCAATGCTTTAATCCTGAATCTTGATATCACTACAAATGACATAAACTCCCGAATGCCTAAACCGTTCAATAACCCACCCATGTATGTATGCAATCTAAAATATATGTATCACCAAAACACCCGAACTAGCACCAACACATTTGGTATCCAACCCATCACCCATCAAAACTCCCTCACCCACCCAATCAAAACACCGTAACACCACTCACAGTACCATTCTTCAGAACTTCAAATACCAATCCCGGAAATCCAAACAAAGTAGTGTTTCCCAAGCCCTTCTCATCTTCCTTCTCAGCATTTCGTTTCCCACCTACACTATCTTCCCAACCACCAAGTAATTCGCAACTACTTCCTGGACTATCGCCCCAATCGCGATTCAGGACCATACCGCGTTGTCGTTGTTTGGCTTCTTCGACGTTGTTGTAGATGCTTTTCCATTCATTGTAAAGACTGCTTTCGATCGATGGGAAAGGAGTTTCGGAATTGATGGACATGATTTTAGACTTGGGTTTTGGGGACAAGTATTCGATTTCCCAGCGACAGCGTCGATGACGATTGAATGGGTATGAGCCCGGGACATTACCATGTAATATCACTTTTGTAGCTACCAGACGGGCGGTGGCATCTGTGGGAATAACTCGATTATTTTCTTGTTGAGAACGTGCTTTAGATGGGGGAAGCTGTGAGGGTGATGTGGGAGTAGAGACCAAGACATCGAAGCCATGGTAGAAATAATTATAGAAACACTCTCCCGTAACATTTCCTGCTGCTTCTCCTTCACCACTATCATCATCAGAATCATCCGTCGCAGTGTGAGCTGAGGATTGGTCGGTATCGGTCGAATCATCTCGGAGATCCGTTGAGGCTGGTCGCCTACCAGTGCTACTTGCAGTTCGAGGTTTGTGAATCGACATCTTTTGATCGTTCTTTCGATATATAGCATCAGGTGGTCCGAGTTCAGCCACAAGCTCTTGAGGAGTTGTTTCACCGAGAAGAATCCAAAAGGGAGTATTGTTAAAACGACGAATTAACTCAAGTTTTCCTCCACCATAAAGTTTAACAAGGCCAATTTCATCTGCAACCGGTTCGCGACCTTTTGTCAAGGGAGCAAATGTCTTGAGGGGTTCAAGGGTCTGTGTGAACAAGTTATCTCTTGCCTCGGGCCAAGATTCCCCTGAGAATATGGCCATGGAAGAAGCAGGTTGGCCAGCGGACGATGAGAGTAGCGAAACAACGTCTTTGCCGGGCGACCAAGATGATTTATGTATAGGGAAGGAAAATGCGACTCCGGGATATGATAACACATATAAGCCCATTCCAGTCTCATCTCCAGCTTCAGGTTTGATATATTCTCCAGGAAATGTAGGCCCAATTAAACTCTTGTAAATATGTCGAAAGGTTGGTCCAGTAAGATGTCCAGTTCCTGCGCCATTTGGTGAAGCAGTTCCACCAGATCTTAACACCTCGCGATCATTGTATGTGAGTTTGTTTTTTGTAAAGTCTAATACTTCTATCAGTCGCAGACGCTGCTGAGGTCCATCAAAGCGTAAACGAATGCCGTTGGAAGGCAGACTAAGGATAACAGGTTCATCGACAGGAGCTACAGGCTCATAAGTCAAGTCGAGTTTAGGAAATCGTTGTGGCTCGGCTTTTATTCGTGTGATAATCTCGTGAAGTGAAGCTCCTAGAACTGAGGATATACTATTAGTTTCAGTTCTCTGTGAAGGAAAACAGTGTAGTTATATACCTAGAAAGCCCAGAGCTCGTCCTGGATGGACTTGAGCGCTGAATAACGACATATCTGCTACATTTGTATTTGGATTGTTAGTAGACGGTAGAGTATTTGTACTGGCACTCGAGGTAGTTGAATATTGAATTAATGACTGCGACTGGGAAGTGAGACACTTCCAGAGTGATGGCATGGTGGGGCTGGAAGCTCGTGATGCTTGGAGTAGAGAAGTGGGATTAGTTTAGTTGCCGGGGCAACAATTTGTCAGAGATGAAATGTTGATCAAAGAAATTGATTGTGATGATTGAATGTTGAAGAAACATCAACAATTATTGGCGACAAGAACAAGACGACAACGACATTATATTATATGTTAAAAGGTAAAAGAAGAAGATCCATATTTTGAAATCTACCATCAGCATTGAGCCATTCGCCTGCTGCTAGTAGCGCGTTGGTCCCCGCGTTGAACTCACTCAATTTTGGATCTCTACACAAACAAAAACAAACACCAATACTCCCGACCTACTGTACTTCTTTCCTTCGCGAGCGACGCAGAATTAGGTTCCCTCAATATATTATAATCGCCAATTATGGCAGGAATACCCCGGGCAACGCCAGCGCCAGCTGTGAATAAAAGAATAAACACCATGAGACCTCCACCAAGACCATCAAGTTCTTTAGCAGGACCAAGACCTTCTACCTCTAGATCAAGTTCAGCAATGCCACCGCCGTCGAGATCTGGAGCAGTCTCGCCAACAGGATCAGTCGTATCTGTTGCTACATCTACTACGGGAACGAAAAGAAAAGAAAGAGATTTTGAACATGAAGGAGGCGGAGAGACAAATATCAATGTTGTGGTACGATGTAGGGGTCGAAATGAGCGCGAAGTCAAGGAAAACAGCGGTGTTGTACTCTCAACAGAAGGAGTAAAGGGCAAGAATCTCGATTTATCAATGGGACCCAGCGCTCTCAGTAACAAGAGTTACCATTTCGACAAGGTGTTTTCATCTGCAGCAGATCAAGCCATGATTTTCGACGATGTTGTGACTCCAATTCTTGATGAGGTACTTTCACTGCTATTGTTTACATGTAAGCATTACTAATTATCTTAGATGCTTGCGGGATACAATTGTACGATATTCGCATATGGCCAAACTGGTACTGGAAAAACATATACGATGTCCGGAGATATGAGCGATCATTTGGGGATCCTTTCAGATAATGCTGGAATCATACCTCGCGCCCTTCACGCTTTGTTCAACAAACTCGAATTAAATGACGCGGAATCTTCGGTGAAGTGTTCATTCATCGAACTTTACAATGAAGAGCTACGCGATTTGATAGCTGTCAACGATAGCACAAAGCTCAAGATCTACGACGACAACAGCAAAAAAGGAAGTACTACAACATTAGTTCAGGGTATGGAGGAATCTTATATTAAGACCGCTAGAGATGGTGTGAAGATTCTGCAGGATGGATCATTCAAAAGACAAGTCGCCTCAACCAAGTGTAACGACCTGAGTAGTAGAAGTCATACGGTCTTTACAGTTACTGCCTATATCAAAAGGACAGCGGAAAATGGAGAGGAATACGTTAGCGCTGGCAAGCTGAACTTGGTTGATTTGGCAGGAAGTGAAAACATTCAACGCAGTGGTGCCGAGAACAAAAGAGCTGCTGAAGCTGGTTTGATCAACAAGAGTTTATTGACTCTTGGTCGTGTGATCAATGCCCTGGTGGATCGAAGTTCTCGTGATGTTCACATTCCTTACCGTGAATCGAAACTCACACGTCTTCTTCAAGATTCTCTCGGTGGCCGAACGAAAACGTGCATTATTGCAACAGTTTCTCCTGCCAAAAGTAATTTGGAGGAGACAATTTCCACCTTGGATTATGCCTTCAGAGCCAAGAACATTCGCAACAAACCTCAAGTCAACCAACAGGTTTCCAAAAACATCCTCCTTAAAGATTTTACATATGAAATCCAAAAACTCAAGGGCGAACTTATTGCCGCCCGACAGCGCAATGGAGTCTATCTTACCAATGAGAATTTTGAAGAAATCCAAGTCGAGAGTGAATCACGGAGAATACTTAGTGAAGAACAAGCAGAGAAAATCGAGACAATGGAAACGAATCTCCGCAACAAGGTCCAAGAATTATACACAATAACTTCTAACTTCATGACAATGAAGAAAAAGGCTGAAGCTGCGGAATCTGTCTTGGATGAGACAAAGGGTGTCTTGGAACAAACAGAATCAGTACTAGAAAATACTCGTCGGACTTTGGAGGAAGAGTCTGTACTCCGAAAAGCTCACCAGAAGACCGAGGAACAACTCAGCATTGTTGGTAGTGAGCTTCTTTCCACGCTGGGACGCACAGTGAACGATGTTGGCGGTCTCCATGACAAGAATAGGCGAAAGTCGGCTCTTCAGACCCTGAACCGAAATGCCTGGGGTCTCTCACAGGCTCAGGTCTCCGAGGTGACGAGCCTTGTAGAATCACGGGTTGAGGAGTTCCGAGAAAAACAGCAGGAACTTATGGCCGCCGTCTCGGGTCGGATGCAATCATTTGTCGATGGCGAACTGGAAAAATTGGCGGCAACACAAGCATTCCTAGAGGAGAATGTTGTTGCTTTTGAAGCTTCTGGGAAGGAGGTGTCCGAGCAGACAGATTCAGCCAAGGAAGAGATGAATGCAGTTCTTGAAGAGATCAAAATTCTTCGAGAGGATGTCAAAGTCCGAGTAGGTGAAGGCCTCCAAGGCTTAGCAGTTGCGGCAGAAAGAATTTCCGCAGAAGTGATCAGTGAGCTTGGTGCTTTCCATACCCAACTTCATGGATCATACAGTTCACTAGGTCGAGATTTCAAGTCACTTTTCGAAGACCTCCTCAAGCACGTCAATGCACAGAAAGCCGAGGCAAACGAACTAAGACAACAACTTCATGCCGCTGCTCAGGCCGCCATGGAATCGAATACTGCCATCAACTCCAAACTCGATGAGGTAATCCAAGAAGAACGACAGCAAGCCGCTGAAGATCGCCAGAACCTGCTCTCACAGATCTCGAGTTTAGTCATGGCTCAGGGTGCAACTCAAGATGCACGTCTCGGTGAGAAGATCGCCGCCGTTCGAACAGACATTCAATCATCAAATGAAACTTTCGAAGTGACTCGGGTCAAGTACAGCGAAGGCATGGATGCGTGGAATGAAAACGAAGAGAAACTTGTCGAGGAAGTCTTGAGGGTTAGGGAGACTTTGAAGACAAAGCTAAAGGATGACTGGATGGCTGCAAATAAACACAATGCTTCCATTCAAACTACGACTCGATCTGTACACGACGAGACCGTTCGTATTGTCGATGAACAAATGAAGGATATCAGCACTCAAATGCAAGCACTCGATGACTTTGTCACTCGTGCACGAGCACAGAATGCGGAGCATCATGACCTGCATGCGAAATCTCTTCAAGGTTTATCATCTACAGTTAAATCTTCGTATGACAGTATCGGTGCACACTTCACATCAACATTTGGTCGTGTTAAGGATCTCGGCGATGAAATGACATCAAAGACAACAGCCTTAGTCGAGAACCTTACTCCATTAGATGACAATCTTCGACAGCCACTTGCAGATCTTCGTACCGCCATTGCTAAGTCGACAATGAAGGAGTACGAGCCAACAGGAGAGACTCCCCAGAAGGTTCAGTATCAATACACAATGCATCTGCCTCGGACAGAAGCACATGAAACACTCCTGGCAGCTCTTCGGCGGCCACAAGCTATGCAATCACCTAGCAAAGTTGTTATCCCAGTGGTTTACAACGATTCTACCCCTACTGTAAATGAAGAGGTAGCTTTTGTTCCTATCGAAGAACCAGAAAATAAGCCAACTGGACTTAGGGAGATCGACGTGAACGTAAACGCCGGAACACTGAACTCGGAGATCCAAAGCCTAAGCCAAAGCCTAATGTCAAACGGCTCAGCTAGATCCATTGATTCCGATGGGTCCACTCCACCCTTCAAAAAGCAAGCAACGGGCAAGATACCGAAGCCAAAGCTCTCAAAAAAACCTAGCGTGGTAGCTCTAGAAGGAAGAGAAAATACGATACCGGGGTCTGAGATATTCGCGCAGAGTACAGGAAGAAGACGGAGTCCAAGGACGGCAGGGTAAGGGAGAAATGTTTGGAAACTAGAAGGAGTAGCAATGTTAGACTCACTGTGTTAGCGTTTTTCGGTGTTGTTGCTAGAGGAGCTACAGGGCAAGAAGAAAGGATTGGGATAACGGGTCAACAATTGGCGTGATGGCGTTTTAGGATATCCCAAGTTTCAATATGCTGTTGCAATTATTATGAAATGCTATGTTCTATTCTACATGTTATTTGGATCCCATAATTGCAGGTTATGATGTTACTTGGTGACTTATGAGAATAAAGACATAAAGCGTTTAGTTGGTATTTTGTAGACCGGCATATCAAGGTCTCCCGGTAAAAACAGCATAGGGCATGAATAAAAGTAACTGTACAAAAATGCTCGATATTTAAGGAAGCAATATCACACAGTACCTACCTAGGTAGGAAACATGAAGAGGGGCAAGAGGAGGGGATCATAGTCACGTGGTGATAAGCGCAACCGATAAGAGGGAAGGCTGAATAATTCACATTTGGCAAGCTCGACACAATGCAAGTCCCTTCCCGTCGCGTCTCAAAGATTTCGCTGGTCATATTCATAATACTATACAACTCAACAGCAGGAGCAATTCTTTCATTCTTGACAACACAGATGCGGCCATGTACTCCTGTGGATCTGGTTGCCTCAACCTACATATTCCAGCAATAAACTGAGAAGCCATACTTTACCTAATACAATCAATTCATTGCAGCAATGTCAGCCACATCTATTACAGCTTCGAATACACTATCGAGAAGCAGGGGTGCAATACTTGCCCTCACCAGCTGTGCCGCTGCATATGGAATATACTATTTCTATAGCACAAATGCCGCTGATTCACAAGACAACACTGGGAGTAGTGGACTACATAGAAGTAATGCGGTCTACCGGCGCCGACGCACAGAAGCAAGCGATGAGGCTATACCTGCTCAATTACAACCGATTCCGCCAGGCGAAGATGAAGACGCAAACCTTGTAGCTAGACCTTTGACAGATGGAGATACAGTGGTGGATGACGGCCAGGAATATGAGGGTGGCTTAACAGGAAGAGCACCAACTGTAGATGCTGAACGAAACGGTCAAAATATTGTTCAGCTCCTCTTTCGTGTTTCCGAAGATGCTACAAGGAGAAATGCATACGTACATAGAGGATGTGGCTGTAACGGTTGTTCAGTAGTTCCCATCCGTGGAATTCGATATAGATGTGCAAACTGTGCAGACTTTGATCTATGTGAATCATGCGAAGCACAAGGACTACATACCAAGACGCATATATTCTATAAAGTTAGAGTACCAGCACCATCTTTTGGACCAAGGCAGATACAACCTGTGTGGTATACTGGAGATCCCGAGAATCAAGACAGGATGATCACATTGCCAAAGGAATTGATTGCGAAATATTCTCACGAGACAGGATTTGAAAGGCCGGAATTAGATGCATACTTTGAGCAATGGAACTTTATGGCAAATACACCCTGGCCAGAAGACCCAGATGATATTCATTTAGCTATGGACAGAAGGACATTTGAGCGGTGTTTGGTACCCAGTGGCGGTTATAGGAATAATGCCCCAAGCCTTATATTCGACAGGATGTTCGCCTTCTACGATACCAACAGAGATGATCTCATCTCATTCTCAGAATTTCTCAGAGGTCAAGCATACCGCAAACAAAAAGATAAATGGCGTGTGATCTTTGCGGGATACGATATTGACGACGATGGTTACGTTGACAGGAAAGATTTCCTACGAATCTTTCGCTCTTACTACGTCTTATATCGCCAAATGCATAAGGATATGGTAGAGGGACTCGACGAGCAGCACATGATGAGCTCGGAGGCACATGCTCATCTTAATGGCCGTGGGGCTCTGGGCAGATTAATTGGTCAAAGTTCGGGTGCAGGTCTAGGGCCATTTCCAACTCTAGAATCGCGGGCCGGCGAGGGAAAAACTATCCGTGATGGAGAGATGGAGATTTGGGATGGAAGGGGTGTGATGAGGCCAAGTGCTAACGATACCGGAAATCGAGATGATACTCTTGTTAGTTTTAGTCGGATTTCAACTGCTGCAATGCGTCCGGTTGAAAGGACAAGAGGCTACTGGCGATTCTTGATGGAAGATCCCTCTACAGAGAGCGAAGACGCTATGCTTGAAAGAATTTCCGAGGAAATTTCCGAGGAAATTCTACGAGAAACCCTCGAAGAGAACGATCCCGTGTGGGTTCCAGATGACCCTGTTTTGCTTGACGCATCTAATGTCTCCGAAAATCCCTTTTTAACCCCTGCGGAGCATGCAACTGTAACTTTTGAACGTCGTCGACGTGATTTGAATATAATTGATGAAGATGTTCAATCAGTTTGTGGACCAGGCTACTCATTGTCAAATATTCCGGAAAGTGCCCGCCCTTTCATTATAAAGCATGCTATCAAGAGACAGAAATCCCGATATGTATTGCACGAGAGATGGAAGCGGAGACAATTTTACACTGATGAAGAAGAAGGAGCATCACCACCTGCTGACTGGAACATCGAGGAAGACCTTCCTACAGTTGGCGCTGATGGAGAAACCTCCAAGTCTCAATTTAATCAACGACCGACTATTCATTCTCGCTCATCCTCTAAGGTAAGATTTGCGGAGGACATTGACGACTTTGATACACGCTCAAATCCTTCGACATCTTCGCGGAGCGTCCCTGAACGTTGGGGTGGAATAGAAATACCTGATGCAGAAAAAGACGTGGGAAAGGAGATCTTGTACCAAGTCTCGCAACAAGCCTACAATGAAATACTCGATCCATTATTCCTAGCTAAAGAAGATTTGGCGGTGGCCGTCTTGGAGACAAAGAAAGAACGCGACAAATATCGACATCTTTTCAGCACTGTTGACTTTGTGAGGTGGGCTACGGCTAAGAAAGTCGAAGAAGATAAAGTAGTTGCTAGCGAGACCGTTCGCCCGGGTGATGATGCTGTTGGAGGAACGAATAACAATCCACGGCCTGTATGGCCTACTATTCCTGAGGTAGAAGTCGAGGATATACGCTTAAGACAGCTAGATGAACTTCTAGAAGCTACGGGTTACGAAGTGCAGGAGTCTAGTGATGCCAATGACACAACCAATGAAATAATCGTTCCTGACTTGGAGCTATCAGGTCTTTCACATCGTGAATTTGACCTTGATATGGCAGTGCTCGAATTCCAACATGCTCCTTATTACAAGGACGATCCTTTGAGGGCATGGAAATATTATGTTGATAAACACAACCTCAATCTTTACCAACAACGTGATTTCTTTCACGCTTTGCAGCCTCTCTTACCACCAACTCTTCTGTTCTATATCGATGTACACCTCAAGGAGAAAGAAGAAGAGCGTGATGAGGTTTCCAGTTTTACTAGCACTCAATCGTCTGAGCATAGAGATCCTACACTCCCTCAATTTCGACCAAATTCTGTCACAGATGATGTGTTTTCTGGCAGATCTGTGGGAGAACACCAGTCAATCTCAGAATTTTCAGATTCTGAACCTCCAGCTGCAGATTCTTCCAACCCCAAGAAACAGCGTTCCCAGAAGGAAGATAAGAGACCAAGTGATGAGGTATTATACGAGTTGTGGAAGATTGAAAATGTGGAGCAGGAGGGCAAGGAGAGAGGTGGATTGGGAAAGATAAACTTCGAGGAGTTTGAACAGTGTGTTAAAAAGGAGGCGGCTAATGGCAAGGGTAATGCGATGGACTATTTGGGAAGCTGGATTGAGTTCTGCATCCCTTAGGTCCTTCGTTGTAATCCCAGCCCTAATATTTCTTTTACAGAATACTCCATCATTACGGTTGGCTAATAGTAAAGAGAATGGGCAAAGATGGTGAGGCAGTCATTTATTATGAAGATGATTCGATCGAGGATGATGATTCGATTGAGGCAGCCATTGATGACGAAGATGACTCGATTTAGGATGACGATTCGATTGAGGGAGTCGGTGATGATATCAGTGTTGGCAATGACAATATTGATGCCAGTAACCTTCAGGTAAGTGTTGTTGAGGATGCGTGGATTGGGGAAGAGAAAGAGATCCTCTCCAGTGAATAGGAATCAGAGAGTACAAATGGGGACTATCGATCGAGAGATTGATTATCATTCTGACATGGATATGACAAAACAGGCAGATGATGGTGCCGTATTTTCATAGAGAGACGAGGGCAACGAAGTGGATGAATTTATGTATGAATATGCCAAAATTATGACAACGAGCGAAAGAACATCGATATATTTTGAATTGTCTTATTTGTACTTTGTGTGTGCATAAAATTCTGTGTGGATAAAGCTTTACCGGTGCAGGGGATGCTTTGTGTATTGGCATCAAAATTACGTCCTTGAGGTCCCGACACTTATAAGCCACTAGCTATCTCAGAAAAGCTTCATCTTAATACATGCTTAAGGATAGGACTATTGTTGAACTTTTAGATGTGTAATGACTCCTCAACCCGCTTGGAGATCTCCAGAATCTTCTCCTTCCCCAACCCCAAGTCCAATCTCGCCGTCACGATACCCCACTCGTCCTCCTCATATATGCATGCCATTTCCGTCTCCATTCCCACGGCCATCCCCATCAATAACAAAATGTCCTCCAATTTCCGTGGAAATTGCCTCTCTTATCTCATTGTTCTCTTTCATGCTCGCCACCTGACTTGCCAATTATGTCAACAATTTTTTTCTTCGAACTTCACTATCTGGCCAGGAACCTGCAGGGAGAATATGACAGAACCATCTTTTCCTACTGGCAATATCAATTTTACAACTAATAAAGATCACACATCCAAACTCATTATTACCTAGCGCTAATAACCCATTCCAGCCATCTATGGTAAGATAATTGAGTCTAAGTACACTCCTAGTTGCATCGAATAGCTAACAGAAAGTTTATTGGTACATCAAAAACACTAAGTTACATCACGTATTGCACATGCGTCGCTCACCAAGAATAGGTAGTCGAAGAATATCCAAAAAATCACAACTAGATTTTACAATACTGAATTTCAAAATCCGATTTCTATTTTCAACTAAACTGCCTGATCTATCAACTAAAACTAAACCCATAAACGAATCCAAAACGCCCCAAAAATGCAATAACAAGTACCCGCAAGATGAGCCCAAGATCTTTAGCTCATGTAAACTACGTTCATCTCCATGCAATATCAAATCGGTTAAAGCATACCCTAACGCCGCTCGCTAACGCTACCGCTTGCTACCACCATATTGGCTACCGTAGTTACTCAGGGATGGTGCTGGCTTACTTGAAGACGCCCCCGATTACGTTGCCCATCGAGGCTCCCTTATCTCATAAATCGGCGCCAAAGCTTGAGAGCGCCCAGTAGCTTCGGAGTGTCCACCGCGTGAAGATGCAGGTCTCTCCAACAACCGTGAGGCTTCGGAGCCCGTTATGGTTTTAACGCCCGAATCAGAATTTTGAAACGGCCAGTCTCGGGTCGAGCCGTTGCCGATACGTAGCGGTTTGGCGGTACTTTCAGAACCATACGAAGTTCCCGATACGGACCCCACTTCTTCAATTCGTGGACGGCTCGTGAGTTGGGGGTGCGGGAGGGAGGGAGCGCGGTATCGTGCATCGCTAGGGTGAGGTATGTAGCCAGGTCGAGGCGAATTATGATATTTTGGACCATTACTAGATGAGATGTAAGTTGAAGTGCCTTGTTCATGATCATGAATTGCTACATTAGCATCGCCACTGATAGCAATCATTGTCGTGGAAGTGTAATGCCTCCGGGGACTTCTATCGCGGTCCCTACGGTCTGCTGTTGATCGCCTGCTATGGGAATCTCTACTGCTAGGAACCTCACTTTTTGAGAGCCTGCTGTCCCGTGTGTCCTTTGTTTTACTTGTCGTCCGCGTGTCGCGCGTGTCGCGCGAGTCCCGCGAGTCCCGTGTCGCCTTAGAAGCATGACTCTTCACACTTGGAGTATAACTCTTTTCACTTGGAGCCTGGTATCTCGATAGTTCTGCAGCCGCCGCCGCCACGCGATCTTTCGGCACACGAGCAATTGTTTTATCAACGTAATCAGAGATTCTATCAGTCTTCTCTTTGTCACCTAAGGATCCTTGTTTCTGCTTCATTTTTGCACGAAACTTTTCAACAGCATCTTCGCGTTCCTCCCAATCATCGATGTCGTAAAGCTGGTCCCTCCTAGCTACCTCTTTGCCCACGACAGTGGTGCTCTTATGGCCTCTTGAACTAAGGCTCGTAATACTGGGAGCTACAGACGCTACAGACCTAGGAGCGTTTGCATCGACGAAACTAAGACCCGCAGATTTAGAAGGGGGTGGTCCCCTTCGAGATTCTTTTGCTGTGGATGCTTCAGAAGCAACTTTTGTACTTCTTGACGTGGTGGCATGAGAACTGGCGTATTGCGATGATGTCCTGGGTTCACTCTTTCTAACACGTCTTTCACGTTTACGTTCATCGTCGCTCTCATATACGGTGGAAAGAGTTTCTCTCTTCTTATCCCGCTTTTTCTTGTCCCGATTTTTATCCTCTCCCATGCTGGATACGTAAAGACACAGAGAATGATGAAGAAATGTAATGTGAAACTTAGTGAAGATATCCCTACCATGCACATCCCCTCTCCCATTCATATATGCCTTCAACAATCGAAATATGGGTACCCAAAAGTGTTTAAATTCTCATGGTTCGGCCACTCTGTATTCACGTCAATCAAGTCTCTATCAAAACATGACTAGACCAATGGACCCCTGAATTCATGCACCTCAACAAAACGGTCAATTTCCAAACACAAGACCAGATTATAGTTGCGTAGATACATCAACAAGAGGCCGATGGCTGTGACATGTGGAGTAATATATCAAATAGTAAGAACTGTATAAGAACTACCAATCAGCGTTAGTTAACAGTTACAACCCGCCCCGGCAGGCCATCTCTACGTAAGCGAAACGAGTCAAAGAAGTCCTCTGAAAGGATACTCAATTAATTCCCGCCCCTTATTTCGTTTACGTAGAGGCCAGCTCGAGGCCAGCTCGATTGGTCGGTGCACCCGGTGAAAACCCAATGACCTACCCTATATATTTGATATAAAATTAGCGCTAAGCGCCCGTTCATCATGGCCCCAACATCATCAGGCCAGTCTGGCTCAGGATCTACTTTCATCGGGAAATGAGATTCACGCGAAACGTTCCAACCTATGCTCCTAAATGTTTAAATACATGTGTATGTAACTGACGAGGAATCAAGGAACATCATCATATTTGAAAGTTCAATTCGTTTTGTGATGGATTGTTGGATTTTTTCGATAAATAATGCTTGAACAGCTCATATGGTTTGAATGCCGTTGACAGTGTGAGAAGTGGGTATCTTTTATTCATTGACATACTCGTACATAAACAACACTTATACAGCAATAGCATCTCCGCATCTCCTACAAAGCTCATCCTCTACTGGAGCTACATACCTCCAACATCTAGGGCACTTTTTGTCCTTAGGAGGTAGAACCCATACTTTTCCTGCGTCATCCGGGTTATGCCATCCTGGTGGATTCAACCTCGCGGAAAATTTCCAATCACCTCTATTAACATCGCTACCGAACTCGACGGATGATACAACAAAGATACTTTCTAGCTCATCTGCATAGCGCTTGAATATCTCCTGGCCTTTTGATGGCATATCTATCAACACGGATGATTCTAGAGAAGACCCGATGATCTTTTCAGAGCGAGCCTCTTCTTGTGCGCTCTTGATGGCAATCTGTGCGTTTAATAACCATGGAATATCCTGCTCAATCAATGAACATTCTTCGGCAGAGAGCCGACTCGAAGAGATGATAGGATCAAGAAATTCACGATGAAATGGATGAACTGGGTTTTCAGCAGCCATCCAGGCAGGCAGATGGTTCCAAACCTCTTCAACAAGGCAAGGAGTGATTGGAGTTAACATTTTCAGAAGACCATGGAATATCTCTTCCAGGACACCTCCTCCGTCACCGCAGTAAAGCCTATCCTTACTAGCTTCAAGGTAAAATGCGGAAAGGTCTGTGTGAATCCATCGATTGATTGCACTTACAGCCTTGTTAAACTCGTATGAATCATAAGCCGACTCGACTTCAGCCATGACTGTTCGCAATTGTACCAAAGCTATTTTGTCCAGTTTGGTCAATGGTGAAGTCCTCGCACTCTGATGCATTGACCCGAGCAACATTTTGAAGGTGATTCGATACTTTAGTAAAGCGGAGTTTACAGTCGCAAGAACTGGTTGACCAATGACAAGGTCCTTAGTATAATCGCTGCTGGCGACCCATAAGCGTAATGCATCAGCTCCCAGTCCTTGAGAAATGTTACCGCCCTTCTTCTTTATCTTCACAGGCGGAAGAAGGGAACCATCCATTATTTGGCTCGGTGCTATTGTATTCCCAATTGATTTAGACATTTTTTTGCCATTTTGATCAAGAGTAAATCCGTGTGTTATCAATGTTTTGAAAGGCGCCTCTGAACTATCAGCAACAGCGGTGTGAGTTAATAAACTTGATTGAAACCACCCTCTGTGTTGATCAGTGCCTTCAGAGTAGACATCAGCACGTTGGTCGGTCTGCGACCAACTAGTGCCACTGTCAAACCAAACATCCATAGTATCTTTGCCTCGTCGATATGTACCGTTCATTCCGGCGGGAATCCATGCCGGATCGTTCTCTGCATCTGACCACCATGCATCAATGCCTCGTTCATCGATGACAGATAGAATATGTGCAACACTTGCATCAGTTAACAAGGCTGTGCCATTTTCGTCATACAGTGCAGGTATTGGAACCCCCCAAGCTCGTTGTCTCGAGATACACCATTCACTCCTAGACTTGATGAAGCTTTCTAATCTTTGCTTTCCAGTTTGAGGGATGAATGACACATCGTTTAACCTTTCTAGAGCTACACCCTTGACATCTCCAACATCTGCAAACCACTGTTCTGTGGCTCTGACAATGACTGGAAGCTTTGTTCGCCAATCGTATGGATACTTATGCTTATATTTTGATATGAATAGCACTTGATCTCCAAGAAGTTTCAGAACCTCCATGTTGCCATCGTTTAAAACCGACTTACCTGACAAAGCACTTGGATCGTCAGGAAGAGCAGCATCGGTAAAGCAGCCAAGATCATTCACAGGAGCAACAGCTTCTATACCAAGACGAGTGCAAACATCATAATCATCCATACCATGGCCAGGGGCGCAATGAACCAGTCCAGTACCAGAATCAGCCGATACGAAATCGGCATGAATCAAGGGTTGAACATCAGAGTTTTGGCCACGAAGTTGATTGGTATACGTCAGAGTTTTCAGGACAGAGTTAGGAATATTTCGTTGAACAATCTCGACGGCCTTATCTTTGAAACATGACTCTTGTAGTGCAGAGATTCTAGAATCGGCAATGATCAGGTGTTCGTCGTCACATTTGACAATAGAATAAGTCAGATCTTGATGAAATGCAATGGCTCTATTTGCAGGAAGGGTCCACGGGGTAGTAGTCCATATCAATGCCGAAAGTTTATTCAAATTGGGGATTATGTCCTTTAGTTCGTTGGAAATGTTCGTGATAGGAAATTTGATATAAGCAGACGTCGAAATATGTTCGTTGTTGTACTCAAGCTCCGCTTCCGCAAGAGCTGTCCTTGATGAAGGTGACCAATAAACCGGTTTGTAACGTCGAAAAATGAGGCCTTTTTTGACCATTTCCTGGAAAACTGCAAGTTGTTTGGTTTCGAATGTCTTGTCCATCGTCTTCCAGGCCTTATCCCAATCTGCCATAATACCCCATTCCCGGAAGCCTTTCATATGTTCTTTTACGGTTTTGCTTGCTAGGCTCCGAGCAGCTTTCCGAATCCCAATGGCATCCAATACCCCTCTACCATCTTTGTTCTTCTCGCGCTGTTGCTCCAGAGCCTTGATCTCGATCGGAAGACCATGGCAATCCCATCCTGGAACCCACACAACTCGGTGACCCTGTTGAAGCTTGGTTCGACAAATAATATCCTTCAAGAGTTTATTTACAGCATGGCCCACATGAAGAGGCCCGTTGGCGTATGGAGGACCGTCATGAAGAATAAACGGCTTCTTAGAAGATCTTTCATGGCTTTGCCATTTGTAAAGATCATCGGAGCATCGTTGAAGGTATTTTGGTTGCTCTGCGGGGAGAGGTCGAGGACTGATGATGTTATAGTCAATTGGTGGTTCGAAAATAATAATTAACAATTGACTAGCCAAACCAAAGATTTGCTTACGGAAAAGAAGATTTAGGTAGTCTTAAAGTCGAAGACCATGATTTGACAGAAGGGCGAATTGACATCTTCGCTTGTCCATGGCCTCTTTTCCCTTGAGAGTTTCTGAATTGAGCTTTGCTATGGAGAGCGAGCCGGAAAGTTGAAACTGGATAGGTCTAGAATTCGAGCCTAATATACAAGGCTGATTTTCTTTTTACCAAACCTCGAGATCTCTTCAAGAGTCTCACATATTCCATTCTCAGTAAAGGATTCATGATGTGCTTTGGAAATCTCATTTCCGTTTCTTTGGCTCTATCAGTTGAGGGAAAAAGCCGTTGGACATGGTTATTCACGGGCTTCATCATTTCTACCGTCGATTTTCGCAATTTAATTCCAAAAGGATAAGGTTACCAACAGAATCTGCCTTTGCTGTGTACACATTTGACAATATCTTGTATTGCATATACTCTTTCGTTTTTCGAGTAACACTCAATAATTCCTATCGAGAATAGTTCCTGGACTTTATCAAAACCAAAAGAAAGTTGTTCTATCATTCCCACAATACATGGGCCCATCCTAATTCGAATAGTAGCGGAGGGATAAGTTTCTAAATTCGCACTGGAGGTTGAACCTACAGAAGAATCGAGTAGAGACGCAAGGTGATTCAGATGTCATTCTCTACCTCACACCCACAAACCTCCAATTACACTCTGTTCTCGACGTATTCCATAGTTCTTCGCATGTCAAGTATGAAGTCCGTATCGTAGAGGCCGTATAGTATTCACTTTTCTCGAATACTTGTGCACTTCCAGCAGGATTGTCATGTGATATCAAATGCAATAAAGTCCTCCTAAGTTACCATCTAAAAGTATGAGGCCAGCCATACACCCTCCAGCTAAACCAGCTAAGAGCGAATTATACCAATCGCAGAATGTTTCCTTCGACGTGCGAGGAAGTACTGAGATTTGAACGCAACGCATGAGACACAAGAGCTGCTAGTACTCTCCTCACGCAGTCTGTTGATATCTGATAAGTAGCACGTTTTCAAAATACCTCAGGAATCTACCAGATTGATAAATCCCTCAAAGACAAAGAACTATCGAGTAGCATCATGAAGTCATACACGTCACCAGTACCTACAACTGCACAGCCACATGGTAAGATTCATTGCCTCGATTGCCTAGCTGGAGGTAGCTGGAGGTAGGTAGGTATATGATAGAACCAAGACATACCTCGACCCCTACAACTGCCGCCGCTGCCCCTCGAACCAGGACCCAAGCTTGAAC